ATGTCCGACGTTATCTATTGAGTTTCGAGTATTGAATCGCCAATGTTTGATTAACAGTTAGGTTGAATTATCCGACACAACTGGCTACAGGAAAATTTCCTTTATTTTAAACACAACGTTTCGGTCATGGATTTTAACCACATGCCATAGGCCGACTTGATGCTGTACACTTGAAAAGTGCCAAAACCCACGGCCGAAACGTTGTGTTTAAGATAAAGGAAATTTTCCTGTAGCCAGTTGTGTCGGATTATCCAACCTAACTGTTATCTATTGAGATCTAATTAAATCTATAATTGAATGTCCTAAGAGAACATAATTAGATCTCAATAGATAATAACATTGAATATTCAATAAAAGTGCCAGATCTCCGAAGATCTGATGATTTTAGAATTATGTAATATAAAAATTTTTGTATATTACATAGTGTACAAATATTCGTACAAAAAATATGTGTGTATATAACATATAATAATAGAATCGCGAGTCAGTCCACGAAGATTGCGTATCCGCCGGGACGGCGTGACGCATGGCGTTAATTGTAACATTAAATGTCTCGGTCGTCGCATACGGCGTAATTAGATTGCGTTCCTCTGCGTTAGACGTTCCTAACGTGTCGAGGAACTGTCACTGGATAAATTTGGCGAAGCGTGCGGATCGTTCGGAGCGTGTTATCCTAAACCTGCGTTGCAATAAAACGTCGCTCCTCGTGTCGCACGTAACAGTGCCCGCCTCGTTTAGCTTTGACGAGAATAATACGTAATCCGCAATCGTTTCGCGCGGGCTCGAGTCCACTTGACTCGGGGGAATGATCGTTAATTATGGGTGCGCCGATTCCGATTGAATTAATTAAATCGGCGCGACTCGCGTTTTTCTCCCCCGAGGCCGAAGAGGGGGAGGTTTTGTCGGAGCAAGAGCGAAAATTATACATGTGCGTCGTACATCACGGCCGAGAGCGCATCTTCGTTAAAACAGTGAACGTGATTGCGCTTTCTCCTGCAATTCGAAATTGCCAGACACGAGCCACGAATTATTACAAAGTTAACCGACACGTTGGTGAAAGCGACCGTTCTAAACTAGTTCTGAGTTTGTTGTGTCGTCGCAGAATCGCGCGCTCCCTTATGCGTCGAACGGAAGGAAAGAGCAAAGGTGCAAAAGTGCACGTTTCCCGCCGGCACAAGTGCGCGCACGCTTCTCCTTGGCGTTTAACCCGTCGTTATTACGGAGAGGATACGCGTAAGCTCGAGCCCTAGGAACGTGAAAATTTTAGAATACCTTAAATCAAATTTGAGTTTTAATAACGTGAAATTTTTAGAATATAAAAATCAAGTTCGAGTCTAGTATTCGAGAAGTGAAATTTTTAGAATATGTTATCAAATTTTTAGAATACCTTGGATCAAGTTGGAGTCGTAACAACATGAAATTTTTAGAATATATTAAATCAAGTTTGACTTTTAAAACATGAAATATGTTGAATATCTTAAGTTCAAGTATCACCAACCCGAAATTTTTAGAATATCTTAAATCAAGTTTGAGTCTTAACGATGCGAACTTTTTAGAATACCTTAAATCAAGTTTAAGCTTTAAAATAGGAAAATTTTAGAATATCTTAAATCAAGTTCGACTTTTAAAACATGAAATGTCTTGAATATCTTAAGCTCGAGTATTAACAACCTGAAATTTTTAGAATATCTTAAATCAAGTTTGACTACTAACAAAACATAAAATTTTTATAACATCTTAAATTCCACTTGGACTCACAAATCACGCCAATGAAATTGTCAGTTGCTTTAAAACGATCTCTCTTCCTTTGTTACATGACAGACGCGCGGAGCGCAGCTGTGAGAATAACGCCGCGTTTATTTGGTACCTGGGCTTCCCCGCTTTGACGACGAGTTAAATGGCCGCGGTTGTTACTCCTACGGAATAACGCACAATCGCGGGGCGCATTAATCTCGCGGCGATAGCGCCAGAGCCAGACGCGCGTTACACATACATTCTAGGTACTTATCCCTCTTTCGCACAACAACGCGCGATGGACTTTGTTTCGGCTGACAATCACGCTAACGCGACTGCTCCGAAGGGAATTCTACGAGCGTATTTCATTGAAATTCATTCATTCTCGCTTCAAACGAGAAGCGCAGATAAGAGGAATGTATCTTGGTGCAATTTTCAGAGCGTGCTCGTGCGTCTCGCTTTCGCGAAAGACGAGAAGAGCGCGCCCGGCAATGAGGAGAATGCGTCGTTTCACTTGCTGTGTAATTAATTGCCCTACGTAAGTGACAGAATCTGTCGAGGGTCTCGGGGGACAAACGTTTCGAGCGTCCCAGCGTTGAGTTAACGAAGTCCACTGGCGCACTTAACTCGACGTTGCACTTAAAGCTTTCAGTGCTCTGAACTGATCCCGGCATCACTGAATTTAATAAATCTGACGCGTTATTTTAACATTTCATCGCTTTCTTTAAAGTCGATAATATTTGTATTAATCTCAATAATATTTATATCATTTTATCACGTCTCAAGTATTTGGTAAAATTATTCTTACTTTTAAATAAGACCGTGTTAAATGGACGACGCGGTCTTTGCGGAAATATAGGGTAACCTGGAACTCTCCTAAGTGTTAAGAGCGCTGGGTCGAGCGCTCATGATCCTTAATTCCATCACGAAGGAGCCTGGTTGAAATCAACGCGATATCTACAGTGAGGCTTTAAAACAGGACTTTAGGATTTAAGAAAATGGCCAATCGCGGTCGATTATTCTCCTCACATTCGATTGTGATTGGAGTCTTAAATCGTAGCAGACGCCGTAAGGGCCTGAGCAGAAAGACTGTCGTAACCGTTCACGATTCCGTCGTGAGACTTAAGTCGATGTCGGATGTCAACTGGCACACCGATGCACACCTACTACTTTATTTACCTAACAAGACATGGCGAAACTATTGCCGTTCAGCTCACCTTTCAGCTCGAAGATAGCAGTCTAGTAGCATATAGAAGCCTGTGGTTTGGACGGTCGAATAGCTGGCAATATCATCAAAATTGACGTAATTTTGAAGAAAGAAGACAAGAAAATGTTGAAAATGACCCAGTCAGAAAGAGGGCCTTCTGTTGCCAATTTCTAGAGTATCTCTAAGTATCTCTATTCTATCTATAATATCTATAATATCTAGAGTATCTCTAATCTATAACATTCGCATCGAACGCCACCTCCACACGCTGCTCGATCTCTCGATTCCGCGGAGACAGAAGGAAACCCCGGAGCAACGGGCCCGCGGACAACGCCAGCCGAACAGAACGAATCGATTCTCGCCGGGGCGGAACGGGGATCCGAAGTACGCGGAGGAGCGCGAATCGACACTCTCCGGCTTCTTCCCGGTCTTACTTCCCCCCCGGTGGGGGAGGAAAGGGGCGCCGCGATGTGTCACGTCACCGCGGCCGCCCTTTACGCCCCGACCGGGCCCCGACCCCACCCAGCGGGCGGGCGAAAAACGAGGAGAAGTCGGAGCGCGCACACAAGCAGGCCCGGTGACTCACCACCCGGCGCTTCCGCGCCGAGACCGGGCTCCCTCGAAGCAACCCCGGGCTGTCGCGCGCGAAGGCCGGTAAAAATAGAGGTGGCGAGGGCCGGCGGCGCGACGACGGAGCGATTTTCACGGCGCGCGGTGGCGAATTGTTCGTTTATCCGCCCGCGCACGCCGCTCCCGAAGGGCTCTCTCTCTCTCTCTCTCTTTTTCTCTCTGTCTCTCCCTCCCTCCCTCTCCCCGCCGTGCACGGTCACCATGGGAACTGACCCTCGGAGCCCTTGCCCTGGAGCCCCTCGTGGCTGCGCAACCTTTCCCGCGGGGGGGGATTCACGCAGGGTCCCCGATCGCGTCCCCGTCGCCGGGAGTCGCGGCGCCGGCTCGTGCGAGAACCGAATTCGGGTTAAATCGAGTCGTCCCTCGCGTTTAGGTCGACGACGGTTCCCAGATCGCGGACAAGGTATACGGAGCGCTCTGGAACGTCCGCGGCGGATCGAAGACTACCGGGATGCCACGGAGGCCGGGACGCTGCGCTTTTTTAGCCTCTTGCCCTGGTGTTATCTGCAAGATAATTTTGCGTGAGAACACTCCGCAGAACGCGCCGGGCAATTCTCTCTTACACGTTCACCGTTCCTTCTCAGGCGGATTAAAGACCACCGGGACGTGCCGAGGTCGGAGCCTTGCTGTCCCGTCCGCCCCGGAACTCTGCCTCAACGAATCTGACGCTGTAATCCGACGAATGCAGCCGCTCGATTTAAATCTTGATTCGCCGGAGCGATATCGTTGCGCCTCTCTCTCTCTCTCTCTCTCTCTCTCTCTCTCTCTCTCTCTCTCTCTCTTTCGCACGCGCGGACGCGCGTCTTTCTGTCTGCAAGTGACTTTTCTCTCGTGAAAATCTTGGAGGGTAACCGACAGAGTACGTTTGAGTCACGAGTTGTTAAATTACAAGTTCACTTCGGTTCATTGCTTAGCTAACCGATGTAACCTTTCGAAGGTTGATTTTAACGCGCGACGCACAGGCTACGCACGAGGGAAAGAAACGTCGCGGCGACACGATTCGATCGGATTCGCCGCGGCGGCGCGGGCGGCGGCGGCGGCGTCGAGTTTACGTCGCGACGAGAGCCGCGAGAGAGGGAGGCTCTCCGTCCTCCGCCCCGCGTCCTCGCGCGCCCTTTGTCGCAGAGGGGTGTTGAACCTTCACCTACTACGCAATATACCGGCTCGAGGCAAGAGAAGGCTGCGGAAAAACCCGTTCCCCCCGCCCCCCGCCGACGCCGGGCATTTAAAAGACGAGAGGCTGTCACCCGCGTCCGGTTCCCCGGCCGCCCGCGACTCGGGGCGTTGTTATTGTTTTCAGACGCTCGTACCCGCCGGAGGGGTGGAGCGGAGCGCGCGTTATCCCGGAATTCGAACGCGACGTTTCGCGTCGGTTCGCCGCGTTCCGCCGATAAGCACGGAGCAGGAAGCTGAAACCGCCGAGGCTTACCTCCTTTTCTCTCTCCCTCTTTCTCGTCCGCTTCCGCTTCTCTCGAACGTCGGCTCCTGCCGCTCCTTGGAGCGTATCGATGGCACACACGGGGTCTCGGTCTCGGTCCCGGCACGACTCGACTCGACTTGACTTGACTCGACTCGGCTCGGCCGCGCCTACGGTCTCGTCCCGCGAGAAGACAGACGAGAGAAGACGACGACGACGACGACGGCGGCGACCCAGGAAGAGGGAGAACGACGGACGTCGCGGAGGAGCGAGCGAAGAGGAGCCGTCACTCGCGAGAGGTGTGTGTGCGCGCCAACGCTCAAGCCACACGCGGTTCCAACGCTCGTCACGCTACTGAGCCGAGCCGAGAGTGCCGAGACCCGCCGCGCAGCTCCTAGGCTACTCTCCGCGGGCCCCGTCGCGCGCCGGCGAGGGTGGGGAGAAAGCGCTGCTCCGGCACCGGCGGCGCTCTAGCGATGGCGACGACACCCTCGCGTAAAAGGAGAGACCGAGCATGCTGAAACACATTGTGACGCGTCAGCCTGACACGTTACATTTGTCGTACGACAAAATTTTTCAGCGTGTTGATTGGCTGCTGAGTAGCAAATTTCTAGACACTCGAGAATTTTACTATCTTGCAGTTCTGTATCTTACACTTTAGTAAAATGCTAAAAGTGAGTAGCTTTGCCTCCCCAAAATATGCCTTAGGAAAGCTTAAAATCTCGCTTTAGAAAAATAAGAAATATTAGAAGTAAATTTGAACGCTTTGAACTTTTATTTAAAATAAACTTAAAACTTACTTTAAGAATTTAAAGGAAAACATGAAGAATTACGAGAAAGTGCTATAGCGCGAGGCCCTCTAGCGGAAACTTCGACAGGCTTGGCTATTTGAAAATTACTTTGTGTTCAAAATTACTCTAAAATTTCTTAAGTAAACTTATATTCGTGAAAGAATACATTTAAAAACTTCAATTTCATTTAAAGTAAATTTCCCGAAGGGATAATAGCATAGAAAAAGATGGAAAATCGACTAACCTCTGGTTAACAGTTAACCAGAAAATGAAAAACCGGGCCTTGGTGAGTTAACTAATAGTTAAATCATACGTATGTCTTTGGTTTCCTTCAAATCGGACAAAGATGGGCATATAATTTAATTATTTGACGCCAGCAAATGACTAAACATTTAACACAGAAAATTTATTGCGAAAAATATTACCTCAGCGAGGGTCGATTAACAGCTTAATCGACCCTCGCTGAGGTAATATTTTTCGCAATAAATTTTCTGTGTTAAAAACACATCGCCAGTCATCGCCGATAACTACGGTTATCCGCCATAACTTTACCACTACAGCTGTAGTGGGGGAAAAACCGTGCTGCGCCCTGCCTTGTGACCCGAAGTTGCGAACTAATCAAACCTCCGTCACCGTTAAAATACGGAGTTTGGATTCTATGAAAACGAAAAATGAATTCGGTTTCGAGAGGGCCAATGGGGAAATTGCCGCGCGTCGTCTCGCACACCTGGCGTTTTCTCCGTGTCGGCCGGACACTAGATACCCGGGAGAATCGCTTCGCCGCGTAAAATCGCGGAGAGACGCCGCGAGAGAAGCGTCGCGAATCTGAAATCACCCCGCGGAGAGGCAGGCAGGGGTTAATAACGCGCATCAATCGCGCAACGGAACGAGGTACCTGCCGTCGAGCGGTCAACCTGAGCGCCTCTCCGAGGGGATCCGTCCGGGCATCCCCTTGCTCTCCTCTCGTTCTGGTGGACAAGTGCGCGCGGTACTTGTTCGACGGATGCGAATCGAAACCGGTCCGAGTCCATCGCTCGCAGCTGACTCGGCACGGAGTGAACGAAAGAGAGGGGGGGGGGGCAGGGTAGCGCGCAAGGGTGGACGCGCATCGAACTGTCAGCGGTTAGGTTAGGTTAGGTTAGGTTCCCGCGTTGGGGCGGTGAACCTCGTCCGAGGTCCTTGCGTCGCTGGTCGGCCGGCTGTGCGATAGCGATAGCGATTCCGCGCTATTTTTGAGCGCGAGTCGCACTCCGAGGGCGGAATCGTTGTCGCGGGATGTCCTTGCCGTTTACAAGCGCGCTTTAAACAGATATGATACGACGAGCTGGTCACCAGTCGAGGTGGTCGCCGGACCACCAAGGCGCGCGCCGCTGAGAAGTTTTGAGCGTCGACCGTGAATGGACCGCTCTGGTCGGCCCTTAGGAAAATTTACTTTAGATAAAAGTAAAGTTTTCGAAAATTATCCTTCAAATCTAAGGAGTTTACTTGAGGAAGTTAAAAGTTTATTTAAGAAATTTTAGAGTAATTTTGGACACCTAATGTAATTTTTAGATAGCTAAGCCTGTCGAACGTAGTACTTTCTCGTGAGAGGAAAACCGCACGCGGTATTATAAATTATATCGCGTACTATTCACAATTTTGTGCGTTTTCTTTTAAATTCTTAAAGTAAATTTTAAGTTTACCTTAAATAAAAGTTTAAAGTTTAAAGTGTCCAAATTTACTTTTCATGTTCCTTATCTTTCTAAAGTAAAGTTTCAAGGCTTTCTATGGTATATTTTCCCAAGGGATGGTTAACGCGTTCTTCTTCTCGTAACAAGGGTGCCTCTGGTTCTTTTTTCGAATCCAATTGGGCCAAGACTAACCAATAGTCTTGAGGTGGCTAATGCGTTAAGCGCGGCGCTTTGAAAATGCTAGAAGTGAGCGGCTTCGTCTCTTTTTTTAAAGGGACAGTTAGAAGAGACAGGGCTACTCACTTTTAGCATTTTCACTATAGTGTAAGATACAGAACTGACTATCTGACGTCGACCATTCATCGACGCATCGATGTTGAATTGACGCCATTTTCATTTAAATATTTCTGTGACTGACGACACCCGCTCGGCTCTCTCTCTCTCTCTCTCTCTGTCTTTCCATTTCCGCGGGTACCGCGAGGATCACCGCAGGATGAAGACTTAGAGACCCCGCGGTGGAGAATCCCGCCGCGCTAAATCTCGTAATCCGCGGTTTCTCGCAAGATGCAGAAGCCGATGGGTGCTCGCCGCGCGATCGTCTCTCGCATCGATCAACTCGGCTTCGCGAGACGCATCCGGCGTCCTCGGTAGATCTCGAACGCAGCGCGTGTCACGCGCGTTGCCTCTCGGGATAGCAAAGCCGTCGCGGCGGAGAACGCGCGGATTGATGCGATCCGTCTCGAGAGAGACGGATTCGATCTGTTGCAAATCCGGAACCAGGGGCGCGACTCCGTACACGTTTACCGATAACTGTCGATA